CAATTTTTCGTTTCATTGCGTAAGGATATCTTTTAGTAGGAATTTAGCCATAGCTAGGCATTTGAGCAAGAGCTTCAGCAAAAAGGAATATTGATTTGAAGCTTCTTAAAATACATCTAAGGAGAGGAAGCTCTTGTCATCTTGTGCTTTCTTTAATCTTTGTGGAAAGGGAACAGGGGGAACATAGGGTTTTACCTTTTCCTGTTCTTCTAAGTTAATGATAGGCACCTTTGTTTGTTCTATTTCCTCTTTTTCTTTCCTTGGTGGTTCATCTAATTGTTTTCCGCTCCTCAAAGTAATAGCCTGCACTTGTTCTTTCGGATTCTTTTCCGTATTGCTAGGTAACGTACCTTGAGGTCGAGATGCCATCATGTTTGCAAACTGCCCTAGCTGAATTTCCAAATTTCTTATTGCGGCCTGCTGGATTTTATGGTTCTCTCTAGTTTCATTCATGAATTCCATGTGTGATTTGGAAAGAGCAGTGAGAAGGTCATCATGGGAGGAAGGTCGTCATGAAGATTTTCTTTTTCCGGAGGATGGAAAAACCAGGTGGTGCATCAGGCATTGTTAGGATTACCATAAGATTAGATTAGGTATGATTCCTGAATCTGTTATCATATGAATTTGAATTAAGGGTAATTCTTTCTTCGCTTGATTCATACACTATAGTTCACTTGCTCTACAAGTTTTGTAGGAATTTAACAGAGTCCGTATAATGCATTCTCGCAAATCGCATGTTGTCCATTGCAGCCTATGCACAAAACTTGCATACACGAATTTTAACAGATTAGTGGTTAACATGTGCGCAATATTCTTACCGTGTATCTAACTGGCATTAAGTGCCTGTAATAGCCGTCTATATTGCATAGACTGCGCTTGCAGTTTCTTCTCGCTTTTGGTAATTGTGTTTTGGTAAATGGCTATTGCTTGGCCATTTCTCTATCAACATCATTATGCTTCATCAAATTCCTGTCTTTTCAAAGGATCCACCTAGCGCTGCATTGCTAAGGGTAATTTTTATGATTAGGAGATAATGCACTTATAAAAGTGTTGTACCTGTAACGGCACTTGGCAAACTGTGATGTGGGCACTTTCTTAACAGTCTTTGAATGCTATTGCCCAAGCTTTCTACAAGCTCTCTGATCATGAATGAGGCCAAATGTCATTATCTCATTGCCAACTTGGTGGTTTTTTTGGAGGATGGAAAGAATTTAGCTAGGAATTTTTGAGCTAAATTCATTGCTGTTTGTGAAACTTCCAGGCGGGACACGATTGTAACCAAGATGCTTTCTCGCTTTAATCGCGCTAAAGAGTGAATGGGAAAGTCTTAATTTTGAATTTAGCATGCTTGCAGAAACACCGTTTTGGCTTGAATGTGTCCACAAATTTCCAAAAATGGTGTGTGAGCTATTAGGATCTTCACTAGTAGACCGCCCATATTGGATCGAGGTAGAGAGGCATTTGGATATTGCTGGTTTAATCTCGAAGCTTGTTAGCTTCTACGCCCTGGTGCTAGTAAATACTTGAGGTTGTCCCAGCATTCAGATTAGGTGTTGTATAATCCTCAAGGTACACGGCCGGCTGTTGAAGTGGTGGTCGCAACTATGTTTTTCATTTTATGTTTTCGTTTTCGTTGGCCAATGTGTTGCTTATTTGCTTTGTTCGCGGTTTTATTTCAAGCAGTGTTTTCTCTTGCCGGCGTTGTGGCGAGCGACTAAGTTCGTTCAATTTTCCAGGATCAAGACTAGAGGTTCAGTCCCTCCTCGATGCATTCCTTTGCATAAAACACCGCTGGGATGATTCTTAGAAGAAATTTGAAATAAAAATAAAAAAAAACAGCACTTAAAAGAAAATTAAATAAAAATGAAAGAGTGTCTAAATTAATAACAGGGTAATTCGTATTGATATTGATACGCCAATCCCTGGCAACAGCGCCAAAAACTTGACAGCGGTTTTCGCAAGTGTACGAAATCGCAACAAGTAATATAGAGTAAGAAAGTATCGTATCCATAGGGATTGTTTCTCAATTACCAAAATTATGTTAACCTATTATTATTTAGACGATGATGAAAGGAATTCGCTGTAAAGTAAATAAAATTCAAAGTAAAAGAGATTAAACACAAAATTTAGGTGAAAAGAAATCAGGGGATTAAGCTACTAGGGAATTTGATTTCATTTAATTCCATCCAGCCTATTCTATTAGTTCATTAATCAAGTTTAATTGTTCAAGTAGGAGAAAACAACCCTAAGGTTACTAACAAGCTCTCCCGATTTATTGTTAGCTATAGCCATCTCCGATAATGGTGAACTGTTAGATATTAATTGCTAAAAATTCGAGTCCAAATACCATGAACTCTATTAATGAGTTAATTAAAACATATAATCAGATTGATTAAGGTAAATTTTAATGGTTGTTTTTTGTGAGTTTCACAACTTAATAATTAATATTTTTTACAACTTAATGAAAGCCGTCCCTATGAGATCAAAAACGCCATAAGATAAATGCTTCTCAGCATCAAAGATAAAAATGTATATATCTGGCCACTTAAGTAATTTATTATCGTTTTTAATCCAAATATCAATAAACCCTTTCTTTTCCCGATGTAGTTTATTGAAATACCTCAATCCAGGGGAAAATTCTGGCTGGACAAGCATGTGAAAGCTGATAACAACAAATAAATAATTTATAACCAAAGAAGACAAAGAAAAAGCAAATATCTAATAATATCATAAATTGGAAATCTGAAATTAAGCCTTAAAGCATCAAAATACCTAGTATAGCTAGTAGTTTTGAGGGCATTGGAAATATGTAATTAATTAAACGTCACTAAATATTAACATGCATTTGGCACAAATAATTCATCATATTTTAATAAAAAGACATAATATAAAGAAAGATTAACCAAGATGAAGAGTTTTAGAAATAAAAACTGTAATCACAAAACTATGTTTGAATAAGGCTTCCTTGAATCTTGAGCACAATTGTTTTGAAATGCTTGAACACTTATCCTTAGAAGGAGAGAGATTAAGATATATTAATAGAAAGGAAATTGCCTAAAAAAAACGAGAGATATCTTTTGCTATGAGAGTTCTTCATTTCTTATATATTGAGTTCCTGAAGGCAAGTCCTGATTCCTATGTTAAGGAAATAGAATCCCTTATTTTTATTTAAGGCAAAAAATCCTTGTAATACGGAAGAAATGCTATGGAACTGTTTTAGTACTTATTTGATTTGCTTCTGATATTAGGATCTCCACTTTTTTACCATAGAATGCGAATTCAGGTCTTGTTTTAGTTTATGTCGTATTTAGAAAGCTCACTGGAGTACAGAGCCCATATGTAGAGAAAAGTGCTTGATTACTAGCATATATAATAAAATATCACTACGCTGGTTACATGCAATGTGAGACTGGGCTTGGTTTGTCTTTTCCTGGACAAAGGGCTGTGAGATCGATTTTCTTTTTAATTGCTTGGAGTAATAGTATCTGGCTCCAGTGAAGCTAGGGGCGTGCTATGGCAGCTACGTGGCTGTCCGAAGCATTAGGGGCAACGGTGGGTAATCGTGCCATAGCTAATAGCACCGGCAAGAGCAGGGCCGTTCAACTTAATTTGCTTCTGGAAGTCTTGGCCTAAAGTGTCAGCGGGCCGTCGCTAATGCATGAGCGACGACCACTCAATCTTGTCCGGCGGTCCCCAATATAGACGGTCGTTGCAATTATTGGCAACACCCTGTAGTCTGTTGAAAGCTATTATAAGGTCTGTCTCTCCATGTTGGTTTTCCTTTGGCTTTTCTAGCAGGCGCTTTCAGTATGCTTACTTATAGTCACGGCCGCCTGGGGGCGTGCTAAGGCTAAGTCCCGTTCTCTCTCGTATTATAAACTTAGTTTCTTATTTATCCATATTTCTGCAGCCGAAAAATTTTGATCTGCAATTGTCTCTCTTTAATCAAGTCGGGATTTAGAGAGATCATAGGATAGCTTTTGGAATATAATATATACTAAAGTGATTTAAAATAAATTTAAAGAATAAAACTTACTAGAATTCAAATTAAAAACTATATTAAACCACTAATAGAATTAACATTCGAGCATATACTAAAATCAGAGAGTTCCACAAACTCCAGATAATATCGTTTTTTTCGTGCGATAGATAAAATTCTCTGTAACATGTGCTGTCACGATATACTATCCCAACATCAATTATACTAAAAGTGATTTAAAATCAAATTAAAGCAATAAAAACTTACTAGAATTCAAATAAAAACTATATTAAAACACTATAGAATTAACATCTATCATCTAACCTAGTAAGAGTTCACCAAATTGTTTTCGGCGTAGCTCAAAATCTGTAACATGTCTGTCACGTCCGACTCCAACCACCAAAAAAATTGTCTGCTTTGGATCACGTCAATTCCATCCCATACTAAATTGGCAAGATCCGCACAGTTTTGTCCCGTAGGTGAAATGGAAGGTGAAATAAAATGGGAAACTTCTACTAGGAGGTCACCCATCTTAGGATTTCCCTTAAGCAAACCATTTTAGATGCTATTGGGGAAAAATAATTTTGGAATATTGTTTTACTATTTGATGCTTTTATGAGTAGAACATTTAAAATTCATTTTAAAAATAAATTTTGATGACCTCTAATTAATATATTTCAATAATGTGTTTTTCACAAAAGCAACTAAGAAAGAAACACCTAAGTAGTCCAATCTTAAGCTAAGATTATGCAATTACTCAACTATGAATAGTGAACCTGAAGAGAATATTCAGCTGTTGCTGTTTAATATTCTCATATGGTATCTTGTTCCATTAATATGCCAAAAATTGGGTGTGAGATGAAGAGGAATATTTTCGCTCTTTTTTTCGATTTACAAAAATGCATCACAAAGGTGGATTTGACTTGCAAAACATGACATTAATGACATTAGTGCTAAATGGATCATGTCTTGAACATGTAAAATGCGAATCAAGGAAAATATATTTAGATAAAATTTTGGGTACCTTTCATACAGAATTTCTAAACATTGTAAGAACAGATCCATAACAGATTAATAAGCACCATTCAACCTTCTTCCCAATCTACATCATCCTCATCCTCTGATGAAGCTTCTGCTTCAACATTCAAGTCATTGATCCTGTAACTTTCAGTTGTATTGCCTGTAAAGTCACAAGCAAAACAGAGAAAACCACCATGATTATGTTAGAGACTACTTAACATAACCAACCAAAATTGTTTGTCATAAAATGTTTCAGGGGTCTAATATTTTATCTAAGCTCCTTTATAGGCGCATAGGGGCCTAACCTCTTTGTCCCTCCCTCCCACTCTCCCCTCCATAAATGCCAAATATATAACATGAGATTCACAGATAAATAGTAGAGAGAGAGAGAGAGAGAGAGAGAGAGAGAGAAGAGTATATGCAATTAGTTCAGCTTGCATAGACATATTATGGCTCTTATTTGTCTCCAATAGGATTGGAGAATATGGGATTATTGAGGCCTACCTCCAGCTTGGGGCTCTTCCCACTCAACATCATCTTCCCCTTCATCCTCCTCACGTTTGAACTTCATGCCCACTTGACGATTAGAAGGTGATCCAGAAATACCATTAGATATAGATGTCTGCGACGCCTGTTGCTTCTTACCAGCTTCTTCTAGTTCTTGTTGTTGTTTAAGCAGAGCTTCATAATAAGCTTTTACATACTCATTCTGTGAGAATTAATTAGCAAAAAGTAAGACTCAAAAGATGAGAAGAGAGTCACAAACCAAATAGCAGAAACTAAGATAGGGAAAAGAGAGAGAGAGAGAGATAGAAGAAGACAAAACAAGCAAAACTCTAATGTTGTCGTTCTCTGGACCTGTATACTTTGTTTATCATCAGCGTTATTGGACTTTTTGTCGTCTGAGAATCCTGATGCTGCTGTTGCAGAATTGACATCCATCTTAGACTCCTGCTTGACCTCTCCTCGTTGCTCTTTTGTGAGGTTCATTCCTTGTTTGATCATCCATGGTGGTAAAACTTTCAGACCTGTACTTGCCGTTTCAGGTTTGACATCCCCTTCCTTGTCATCAGCACCAGACAAGTTAACTTCAACCTGCCAATATCAGTAATAATCATGACTGGTCCAATCTGATTGCAGAATATGCCCACTATCTGAAACCAAGAAATCTTATTGAATGACGTATCATCATAACTTCTAAGTTTTAACTACAATTTTTCACTTTCCTGAAATTGAATCAAAAGAGCTGCTTGACAAACAATATAAAAAATAAAATAAAACCCCTTGGCATAGAGCATAAGCAATAAGCCCATTAGATCATCACCCTTTACACCATTGCTAATTAAGGTCTACAATGCCACTACAGGAATTGTCATCAAGATAGAATTGGCCACTACAAGTAAGAGAAATCTTTATTGAATGATCGGTGAGTCATCCATAAAAACTTATCTAAGTTTTCAACTTACTAGATATCTATATTCACTCTTACCTTGAAAATGCATGTAAGGTTTGAAAAAGACTGCGTTACGCAAACATTACATGAAAAACTACTAATAATATAATCTCTTCTTCTCTCCTTGGCATAGAGCATAAGCGAGATAAAGCTCACCCATAAAGTAGCTCCAAATTCTAACCCTTTAGCACGCACATGCTAATTAAGGTCTACAATGCACTCAGAACATGTGAATCTGTCATCGAAAGAATGAGTATATTTGGTGCTCACTACAAGTTCTTTATATCAATGCTTCATCTCGCTCCAAATAGCTTTCCTCTCTCAGTATAAGAACACAACGCAATGACATTCAGAGGTGGAGCACAAAAGATAAAATGATAGGTGTAATTCGATAAAATAAGACGACACATAGCATTGCTGCATTGAATTACCCAATGATGGCCTTGTCATAATAAATTGCAAATTCATAAAAAAAAACTACATAATAATAGTAGACCTTACAATTTACAGAGTCATATTATGAGTATGTTGTGGGTTGAGGTCCCAAAAGGTTGGAATACCCGTATGTGTTGCCGAATGTTATTATTATATTTATCTTTGGTATTTCACGAAAATAGTGGTGTTACAGCAGAAAATTCATATATCTCCGAGATTTCGAGTTATCAAAAGGCTTTTATGGTGAAAAGGAATATTGAGAGGATTTGCCTATTTACTCCTTAGCCTATTAACATCTAACCGAATAGAAGCAATACTCTCACACATTAAATCCTCTACAGATCGTTTTAAGTGATCGAAGCAAGCTATTATTGATTTTGAGGATGAGAAAACAAACTTGATTCAGAATTAGCAACCATGATTAATAAATAAAATAATCACACCGTGTAATTTAACGCGAGAATCAAATATATATTGAGAGGACTCCAAATTATCTCAATTTTCAATATTAACTGCAACTGAAATAAGAGGAAACGGAAACCGTATATTAAGTGTCCTCGAGACTATAATTAATTGAACACTATAGAGAAACTAGTCTCATTAACTCCGAGATGATTTAATACGTGGTTCACCCGAACGCTCTTTATATCCCAAACTATTATCTGAGGATCCATTACGTCTCCTATCAACCAAAACTATGGACAAACTAACCGAGCTAAAATAAATTATTTCTTTTCTTAATTCTAAACACTAATACGCACTCGCTTTCACAGTCTTATTTAATATTATTCTCTAACGCTCTAAAGTTGGTTATTAATAGCGATTATGAAGTCACGAGTTTTATCAAAAAACACACATAGATGAGCCACAATACTAACCAATATCACAGAACAACTAGTGATATATTTTCTTTTAAACAACCAGAAACTAAACCATGCCAACGCAAAATTACAAACTCCGTGATTCCACACTATTCTTGAGTACCAGTTCTTTTTGGCCAATTCTTAGTGATAACACCCTCTAACACTATATATTTGGATATATGACCAATCTTTTTTTTTTTCTTTGCCCCTTTTGAGCTATAAGCGATCCAATTTGAGGAGAAAAATACCGCTTTATCTCAAAACCATTTTTCTAACACTAAAGGGCCAAGTTATTTGGTAGTGGAGATAAGGTACCCGCAGTGGACGCGTTCAAAACGCATTAACTACTTGTTCCTCTGCATTCTTGTTTTTGGCTCTCTTTTGACCAACAATTAACAATTGTTAATATTTTTGAAATGACTGGATGAAACATATGTTATATTCATACCACATTTTCTTTAGTTTTTTCATGTTGTGGTCAAACAACCCAGGTTTCAAATTATTTTTGTCTCTTAAGTGAACCAAGAATGCAAAAAAATAACAAAAACAACAAAAAACTAAAACTGCGAACAATTAGGAACCATATATATTTTTTTATATTATTCTATCTATAAATGATCAATATCAAACAAAGTATAAAGTATTCGTATAAAGACAGCGCTCCTCACCACACCTTTTTCGAGAAAGATCATTAAGTAAAATTTATTTTCATCTATGTTCATTTTTTTTTTCTCTATCTCATACTTTGTCAATGCAGGTGCATACATAAAACCCCCCTGGTATGCGATAAGAAAACAGTCACTAGTCTTCTCTACTTGTCCTTGTGCAACCAAATAACTATTATCAGATACACATGCTAGTTTGTGTTTATCCTAATATATTATGCATCATAAATCATTTTTAAATTATATTACGTTAATATTCAACAATTGGTGCTCGATAGGTGACCCCACAATGTTGGATAGTGAGATCACAGTGCTCCTATCACATAATATATCTCAATACAACCTTTTGGAAATTCGTGTGAAATAACTAGATCGACCATAGTGTGGCGTACTCATCCAATTAGCTATGATGAAAAGAGAACCAAGTAATAGATTCCCCTTGAAACATAGTTCAGAGAGAAACGGAAAAAGGAATTAATGGTTATTATGATCTTTAACATTGTCTTTCGAACAGAAGCAAAATACATGTTCACCCAAAAAAAAACAATAAATCTTCTCTCTAATAGCAGAAAATACAGAGAAACTGTTTGATATACAATGTAATACCACAAAACTCTCCTGCGCGAGGATAATGCTAAGAAAATTATCATTGATCGTTGTGGTGGATCTCTCTTTCGCCAATCTTTGCGCGCACTGCCTCTATAAAATCTTTTCATGGTGACGTCTAATCAACAATTGAAAAATTCTCAGCAATGCACAAAAACTAAGTTAGACATCTAACAAAATATGTGTCTCCATAAAGCGACTCACCTTGTTAATTTAAGACTAGGAGAGCGAGGAATAGTTTGTCTCTTTTTAATGAGAGTGCTTGAGTCCAAGATCCTAACAAGCTCATCAAGGTGAGATATATGTAATACGCGAGTAGCCTAATCACAATAAAATTATATTTGAGTCGGGACTTTCTTTTCCTGCTTGCACAAAACGATTCGAGTCCCAACTTCTTGAAAGCTACACTACGCTTCTTTAGAACTCACAAGAAATACATATGTCAACTCGCTTTCCGTTGCTGCAAAAAAACAACAACATACTTGCGCAAAACAAGTACCATTTTTGTCAACGGGCACTGTAGACTCTTCTCCACGATATCTGTCCACTGATTGCGGTGCCTGAATAATATCGGTCCATCATCAAAAATGGATATCCAATGATATTCCCAGCTCAAATTAACACAAACGAAAAGAGAGTGGCACAGCATTTGAGTCATTTACTGAGCGAATGTATCTAGCGCGCGCGTTAATTACAATTCACCTTTGTCTCTCCTAATTGCGAAAATCTAGGTAACTCCACGGCACATTCGAGAAGTCAATGCGTTTAATTCTAAGATATCCAATTGCAACATGGGACTCTAAGATGTATGATTTACCTTTCATACATAGTACTCAACCCAAAACAAAAGAATAATAATAAGTGCCATCAATATTTTCACTTGTTTAGTTCTGACCTGGGTTTTAGGGTTCTAGAATAAAAGAAGTAGATGGCACCAGTAAAAATTTATAACTAAGTTATGTTCCCAGATTCAAGGGCGACTTCTAAAAAATCTCCAATAGTGAATCAATGAGAAATTCTTGTATCACAAGCTCGAGATATCAGAGTTATATACACGCATAACTCCTTGAGAGCAGAGAACTACACTTCAGGTATTTTCAGATATCGAGAGAGCAATACCTACACATTGTATCAAATTGGCCAAATTAATTTTCATATTAACTGCACTGAAATAAGAGGAAACGGAAACCAAATTAATTGACCGATTTTGACTGAAATGTCTCATTAACTGATGTTAACCGAAGTTACCCTAATATTTTAACCAAACTAACCCTAATATTTGTTCTTTAATTCTAAACACTAAAACGATGCCAGTTTATTTTTCTACTAATTTGGTTATTATGGTTAGATTCAGTTTTAACCAAACCATAACCAATCACAGAACAACTGTAAAATTTTTTAACCGAGTCTAAACCGAACGTCGATTCACCGAACCAGTTGGCCAATTTAACCAAATTGGTTGAACCATTTTCTCGCCCCTAACATTGACCAAGGAAAAGGATCAAAACATTCACCAAGTGCCATTTGGTAACTGGTACCAACGCTATTTTTGTTTTTGGTTTTTGACCAACAATTAACAATTGTATATTTGAAATGACTGGATGAAACAAGTAAAAACCACATTTTTAGTTTTTAGTTGTAACACATTTCAATATTTTTGAAAACAAGACAAGTAACAAAAACAAATACCACTGGAACATAGAATTATTTTAAATTACAAAGACAATAAAAAATAGAAAGTATTCTAAAGAAGCCCCCAAGCTTCGAAGAATTAAGAATAGTTGACATGCCATTTCACAACTTCAGATGCATACATAAACCCCCCTGGTATGCGAATAAGAAAATAGTCTCATTTTGTGCACCAGTTTCAGCTTCATCATGGTTTCCTAATATTGACATAAATCTTAAATATAAGAATATGCATGGCCAGTACATATATAAATGCTTTTTACTAAGAATTTGGAATTTGTAAATTAGTGCCAATCTAACTAATTAGAGATGAAAGAGAAACCAGTAATAGATCCCTTGAAACATATTCAGAGAGAAACGGAAAAAGGAATTATGGTTATTATGTCTTTAACATTTATTTCGAGCAAATACCCCCCAAAAAAAAAAAGAAAATCAAGAAAATAAAAAGTTTTATATGACCACAAAACTCCTGCAGAAATGTAGAAAAACAGAGTTTGGTCCTTTACTCTTCAGCAAAATTTACTATACCATCAACATGAAAAATGCACCAAAATAAGAGTCAAATGTCCCATAAAGGACTCCTTTAAATTTAAATGGAATTTTTCTTATGGAATTGGTCAATCAGTTCATTCAAGTGAAAGTAAACAGTTGCATTGTCGGGACATCTATTCACAAAACATTGTCCACCTCATCTGACCAAAAAAAAGAACCGCAAAAACAACACATACTGCCAACAGTACCATTTTGTCAACGGGAATGACCAGAATGCTATGGGCCAATATATCGTCATCATCAAAAATGATTCCCGTTTTCCCAGCCAAATTAACACAAGAAAGAGTGGCACAGCATTGAGCTCTACTGAAGACACTTTAACACCTTTTCTTAAAATTCCAAATTCTGTAAAGGACATTAATCATCTTTCTAAAGAATCAATGCACATGGGACATGTTAAATATACTAGTGCCAAAAAAAAGATAATAATAATCATTTTCATTTTGTTGACCTGGGTTTAGGGTTCTAAAAAAAGAGTAGATGCACCAGTATTTTTAACTAAGTTATTTCCCAATCAGGGATTTAAATAATGGAAATGAAAATGGAAAAGTGGTTCAGATTCGACCTGAATCTGAAACAATCAGTCAGAATCAGGAGCAACTAATGTAACATAATTAAGACCATAAATGAGATTCTTTATATGAACAATAAAAAAAGATATTAATAACATTTGTGAAATACTACTTTTTATTTGTTAATATTAGTAAATTACATGAAAACTAAAAAATTGGCATGAGTTTACAATAGTCTTTACCATTTTGTGACCCTTATTTATTTATTTTGTAATTCATTACATGTTTGAAAGGAAAATAGTAAGAAATTTTAATCTTGGGACTAAATCATAAATTTTTTGAAATTTATTGTTGCTTCACTTTTAGGTCTTTTCCAGGTCCCTGCACAGGACCGAAATTTTTTTGTTTAAAAAAATAGTAATACAACTTAGTTAAACCAACTTAAATTATAAGTTTATTTAATCTGTAATGGCCTATAAAAAACATTAACTTTCTTATTTTAAGGACAATAACAAACTCTTGATGCTACTAAAGTATTTGGTGCAAAATAGAAAGCCCTTGTTAAGTATAAAAAAATAAAAAAAGCTCGTTGTTTATGTTTCAGTGCAAAATAACACACAAATTGTACTTATTGTCTGATCCGATTTTTTCACCATTGTTTCACAAGTGTTTGTTGAATCACTCATGTTGGATCCGATATAACGAATTGGCCCGTCAAAATGAAGTGTTGAGTGTTTTTGCAATTACAACAGCAGTATATGCACTTCAACCCACCCCTCAAACTTCTAACATCTGTGTGTGTGTGCGTGTGTGTGTGTGTGTGTGTGTGAGAGAGAGAGAGAGAGAGAGAGAGAGAGGGAGAGAATAGATAGCCAAGAAAAAATCATTACCTTTGTCTCTCCAAGAAACGGCATTGGTGTTCCACCATACCCCAGCCCTTGGGATTTGGAGGGATCATTGGAGCTAGAATCACCATTTCCTAAACGCCCAGCAATACTTGCTCGAGCTTCCCATGCTTGAAGGCTTCCAAATTCAGGAACATGCAAATCCTTCACTCTGTTAAGTTGCTCCATTAATGGCTTAAGTTGTTCCTGTAACCAATTTATGTACGTATATAAAAAGTACCAAGTTTCACGCTTGGTATGTCAAAAATCCCCTTCCAACTGTACATAATTACAACTTTGTAGTTTCCTGTTATTAGGTTCATATATTTTCTTTATTTTTTCCCATATCTATGCCCATTAAAGAAGCAGCTCGGGTTTTACCATTGGCATGTCTATCATACCTGTCTAAAAACTAGTTAATTAATTAAATTTAGGCTCTCTCTTTTTTATTTCCTATACCTAAATCATAGTTGTCAAATCAAGAATCAAAATCTTATTTTTAGAATCAAATCATAAGATTTAGAATAACTTTTCAAAATTAATTAAAAATTATACTTGTAAATTTATGGATATATTTCTCATTAATTTTATCAATACGCTACTAAAAATTTAATTGCAAATAATTTATTTATATAAATTTCACTTCCCAATCATGTACTAAATGCAAAATGAAAAAGAGCATAATGATTTGTGCAGTTGACAAGTTCAAAATATCAAACTACTATGTCAAAAATTTTAAAACAAAAATAAATTAAAGCTATCAAGCCATTAAATATCCCATCCTAATCCATATTTATTCATTATTGTTTCGAAATTCAAGCTGTTCATCATTTTCATCTTCTAATATAACTATATCATCTTGTCCTTCTTCCTCTAGATTGACTTTTCCACTTGAATTGTTGGATAGGAGAATCATTGGACATGAGAATCCACCCAAATCGTAAGATTCAAATCGTTAAGCATGAAAATTGAATAGAATCGTAAGATTCTAATAACACTGACCTAAATATGATTCCGTGAAGAGTGACACCATCCATGATTAAATATTGCATCTTATATAATTACGTTATTTTGTACCTAAAACCCATCCTTTTGTCATTATTCCTGAAACCGTGACAAGAGGATGGGCCAAATCTTCACATGGCCTAGTAGTCTGGATAAAAAACATAGCCATATTATTAATAATATACAGTTTAATTTTTGGGATATCATTTTTCCAGATTACTGACCTATTAAGCACTATATCAGTTGAAAATTTCATCTGAAACAATTATAGGATATTAATTTAAAACTATTACTGATGAAATGGAAAAAATTACTTCATTAAATTAGATTTATTTTATGATAATACCCTTATGACTAGTGAGAGTAATGGAGCCATAAAAATTTTCAAATGAGCGATGAAAGATATCAAATCAAAGAAATAAATGCAATTTTGAATCTAAACTTAACCAAAAACAAAAACCTTATAAAATAATAAAATGTAAAATTTCATGTAATAATATGTAATTATATTTATTGTGAATAGAAAATAAAAAATTGAACATATAATAAATAAAATTCAAATAATAAATGCAGTTCCATAGATTCTTTTCACTTAGTTGAAATATATATATATTTTTAAAAAGAGTTTTATGACTCAACTTAGTGCCTACATTTAGTCTTGATAACTTCCATTGAATTAATATCCAAATAGTCATGCTATACAACAATTTTAGTTTTAAAGTTTGAAAATAATAATAATGTGAAGGGAAGTATTATGCACTGCAAAAAAAGTGTGTATGTTTTGCTTTTCCTTGCCTAAATATGATTGTCAAAATGAATTATTTAAAAATGACAGCTAGAGTTTAAGGGCATGAGACATATGCTCTAGATGTACAGAAGTTTCAATAGTTATGCAACTTTTGGATTAAAACAAAATTATTCTATTCATTATTATGAACATTTCTAGTAAAATAGTGTCTAAGTGCAATAAGGTGACCACCACTTTCAGAAATACTTCCCTAATTCACAATAAATTGCAATATTTTTCAAATCAAAATGTTTTAATTTGTTTCTTTTGAGTGTTGCACATAATTAAGAGGTATATCATGCGTTCTATGAACATAATTTTTATTCTTTGTGGTGCTTGATTTTGTTTGAATTAAATGTTCGATTCACCAACCCAAGCTAGAATTTTAGTTTGACACTAGAAAATGAAAACCATCAAAATAAGGATAAACAGAAGTCTGATTACGAACAACATTAAGATTTCATGCCAGCAGTTATGAAGAGAAAATAAAAAGGACATTCCCTAACTTCTAGCAAACACAAGACCCTAAGCACTATAACGTCACGAAATTTGATTCTAGGAAAGCCTTCAAGAAATAATTATTATGTATATTTCTCTATTTCTGAAGGAACTAAGGAAAGTAAAACTATGAAAACAATATGCAAGCAGGCACTGGTTACTGACTTTCAACTTAATTATATCTAACTTATATTCCTAAATTTCCTAATATAGACAAGAACTACTAGCTAAGCTACATAATGTCATACATAACATCAATTCAAAGGATGGTGTGGCTTCAGAGTTTTAATATGGGCAAATGATCCTAGAGCTTTGAGGGGGATCTCTTTCTTTCACTATCATGCAACTTGGTTGAGAGGTGTTACTCATTTAGTTTGTCTTCATGTTATTGTTTGTTTTGTTTTTAATGAGGATTCTCTGTCTGACAACCTTGTATTCTCCTCCACTGTTTCTCAACAAAATTTCTTCTCTTATTTAAAGATAATAAATAAAAATTCCCCAGCAAATTTAATGAATAATTAGCATTTGAGAGCTAGAAAGGGGGGAAAACAATTTGCTAAAATCCTAACCTTAAAAGAATAATAATCATTGTAGCCATAATGAATAACAAACCTCCATTTTTTGAAGCATGTCCTTCAATTTTTCACGCCGACGCCTCCTTGCGTTGTCATCTCCATCTCCTCCTTCTTGAGCAGCTAACTTGTCACTCTCTGCCACTAGCTCCCCATTGCAGTTCTCACAGTGAAAGTATTCATCTTCTAGAGATATTAATCTTAGTGCATCCAAGGCATTGTACCTAATTGCATCAATTATAATGTGAACTTTTAGGAATATAAAGCTCATCACGATACATTCACAGAATAATCCTGCACACCCTCCCCCTCGTCCCACAAAAAAAGAAAAGGAGTAATCTTAGCAATGCAAAAGTGAAAGACTGATTGATACCGTCTGCCACAGTTGGGGCATATATACTCTTGAACAGTATTCTTGTTTTCTAGTTCATCCTTCAGCTTCTTCCTCATGCGATGCAGTCTGTACCTAACAACATCATATATCTGGAATTCAAATTAATTTAGGCCACTTTCTCAAATGCAGAAGCCAGCTAAACATTGGAAAATTAATACAAAGTTAAAAAAAAAATCAAAATGAAGGGTTCATGAAGTAACAAAACCTGGGCATAATCCAGACAACAGTAAGAGTGCGTATGTAGCTTTATCTTTTCATCCCCTTCTTTCACAATCTGACCATCAGCAGTGGCAGCTACGGCAGCACTATGCATCTTTGCTGCCTTAGCTGTCTGCAACATGTCAAAGAGCAATGCTAACATATGGAAGAAATAACTAATAAAGGAAGGGGCAAATTACAATTTCATCCCCAAGGTTTGGCTTAATCAACAAGTCGGTCAAAATTTATTATTTTGATAGTCAAATGGAATATTATATTGTAAAATACCAAACTACCCTTGAACTTTAATCCTACAAGAGAGAGTCTTCAACGACAACTCCTATATCAGCTCCAACTTAATAAACAACAAAAAGAAAAAAAAAAAAAAAGAACAATTAACTTCCCCAAAATTCACAAACAAAGCAAAAAAATGACTCCCCCCCAACATCTCTCTAGGACACAAACAAAGAAAAGAAAAAGATTTCCTTTTTTTTTTCTCTTCCTTTTTGCTTTTTGAAGAGAAACTATAGAATCAACTGTCAAGGAAATTGGAAACTTTAAGGATGGTCTCAAGCTCTCAAAGCAGTATCTTTGGCAAGGATTTAAATGATAATTGAACTCATCTCCTGGCGCTCAAAAAACTCTTCTAGGACAAAGGGACAAATGCAGCAAAAATTAGGAAAATACTACAGTAGGCAAGCCTCTCATACAAGGAAAAATTATGCCTAGCAGTAGTATTTCTTATTTTTCTGTAAATCACCAGTAAGTGTGACCAAATAAGATTGAGAATCCACAAAACAATTGAATGAAAGAAAAAAAAACTGTTATTTCTTCTTAAGAAGGGAGTTACTCAAAAGAGTAAATAGTAATTTGTAGATAAATAGTGGTACAAATTAAGAAAAAAATAAAAAATAAAGAAACCCATAACTATAAATGGGTAGAACCTTGCAACTACGGAGCAGGGTTTATAGATTACGTCGTTGACCAATTGGTCATATGCAAAGTTCTCATAGTTTCTAAAACATCTTTAATATAAAAATGTTATATTATAGATTTCTGAAACATCTTTCATCAAATAATGCAAAGAGAGCCTAAAAGTAGTAGGCAAGAAATCAGTTATAACAACTGAAAGGCATGAAAGAAACTCAATTCATAAAATGAGTAAATTAACAGAACTCAAACCTCTTTCCTATGATCCCGTGTGACTAGTTTTTCTTCCTCAAAAAACCTCAGCATCCGGCGGAGTTGCTTAGAGTGCAATTTCAAATCCTTTGCCAAATCTTCTTCCCTAACCCATTGTCGTCTGCAATATGACATGTCAAAATTACAACTAATGAATACAAACTAAGGAGCAGAGACACAGAAATATCATTTTAATGAATCATACATATATACAGCAGGCAAAACAATAATTTTAAACAAATCACATAACCAAATTCTCTATTTCAAAGTTATCAGGAATCGAACATTCATCTTATCTAGTGCCAACATAACATAGCCACCTCAATTTTAGTCAAGCAAGCAATTCCAAATTGTAATCACTAGTTTACGAGGGCAATTCCTTGACAAATTAAGAATCCAATTCCAAATTGACTCACAATCCAAACATAATTCCATAACCTATTAAATCTGGATATTTACTTCAATACTTCTACCTATAAAAGGAGACAAAACGTATTGCAAAATCAAATAAAATTAAACATACAAGTTCTACCTTGTGAGAGCATCAAGTACCACCACAGCAATGCCTCTATTATCGCTCCTCCCCGTTTTGGACTGATTATCCCCTTTCGTCGTTATGTCATCATAAAACGCTCGAGCCGCAAGCTTCACAAGCCTGATTTGTATTTTTTTTTTTTTTTTCAATTGTTACGTTATGTCATCATAAAACGCTCGAGCCGCCAAGCTTCCAACAAGCCCTGAATTTGTATTTTTTTTTTTTTTTTCATTGTTTTTTTTTTTTTTTTTCAATTGTTATTGAAAAGACGAGTAACAAAACAGATTCAGATTTAGAGAAATTTCAGACAATAGAGGTTTACAAAAGCTATTATTTTTACCGATTGAAAGGTTCGATGCTCATGTTCTTGGCGTCGATATGCCAGCGATTTACAGGTGAAAGATTTAGGATTTTCAATCGATAGCCTATCTGAACCGATAAGAGGAATAGAGACAGAGAAATATATGTTGACCCTCCGCTTGGTTTAATGCCAATGAAGGAGGTAAGAAGGCAAAAAGCTAACTGTGTTCTGTTATTAATTGAAGAAATTATGCATATATGAATCTTCGAGGGCCTGGTGATCTTCTCAACTCCGTTTCGTTGTGCATTTCAGGCGACTTTTATGATTACAACACTAATCCCCGCCAAACCCTAACCTGCAGCACAGTAGAGATGATTCTCCATGCTTGCATTGCAAGTGAAATTGAATAGATGCAGACAGAACAGTAAACGAGCCAAATTGAGACTGAGATGTGAATGGCCGCCCAGTAGATGAAATGAAAATAAAGAAATGATTTATTAAAAAAAATAGTCGTAAAAAATTTTATAGAAAAAAAAAATTAATGTATAATTGTGTTTGAAAACCAATGTATAATTATGCGCAAACAATACTCAAAAAAAAAAAAAAAAAACAAACAATACTCAAAAAAAAAAAGAAAAATCAAAAAAAAAAAAAAAAAAATCACATACCAGTGGGGATGAGTATTCGGTCGATTCGGTTGGTTTTAGTGATCAAACCAAATTTGAAGTTAAATGAATCAATTTGAATTGACTAGTATTTTGAATGGACTAAACTGACCTGATTAAAATCGAAATTAAATAAGCAGAAATCGAAATGAATTGAATTTAAATTAGAACCAATTTCAACTGAACTATAATATCCAAAATAATCGAACAAATAGACTAAACCAAACCAATTGAAAAAATAAAAATAAAACAAATAACAATTGGTGTAAGTGAAGCTAGTCCACTTTGACAAATCTAAATGATAACATAAAATGCAATCAATCAAAACAAAATAGTACAGCTAAAGAAACAAATATCCAAATCCAAAAAAAAATTTAACATATCTACAAACATCTAAATACAAGTAAATAAACATAGTGACTGTGAATACTCAAATTTTGAGGCTCAAAAAGCCTGTTGGTTGACTTTGCTACAGTAAATAAATAGTCAAGAGGCGGGTCTTCTGGACGCGTCTAGTTTTCGCCTACAAAATTTGCGTTTCAGACAACCACCGACTCCCATAAATCATTTTTATGGATGACGGTGGGGGGCAACTGTGAATACCCAAATTTTGAGGCTCAGAAACCCTGTTTTCCCGGATTGCAAACAGTCCGGCCGGATCGGAGGCTATTTCGGAAGTTCACCGAAAATATGTCAATATGGTACTTAAAACGTTTGAAATATCGCGAGGATCGCGGAACAGGTCCCGGAATATTTTTCGGAGGTCCGGAACTCCCAAAAAGGCCCTCGGAACGAGGCACAGTGTCCACACCCGGCCAACGACGGGCGCCAGCCCACGCCAAGGCGGGCGGGGATGGCGCCCAGCGCGGGCGAGGGCCTCTCGCCCCGCGCGCGGCCGCCGAGGCCTCTCGCCCTGCGCGGGCCGAGGCCTGTCCGCCCCACCGCGACCATGGGGCCGGATAGGTACCGCCGAGCATGGCGGCAGCTACCGCCCCAGATTTTTTGTAGCGGTGGCTACCCGCCATGCCAGGCGGCAAAGCTACCCGCCGGGACCCCGAAAATGGCCTATAAATAGGCCATTTTCAGGCTGTTTTTGGCACACCGTTGTCGTTTTTGACGGACGAATCCTTCTCCTCTTCCAGCGGCTTCTGCCGTTTTTCTCTTTTACGCTTTTTGCATTTAATTTTAATTTTTATTGCATTTTTATTGCTGATATTTGGACATTAAAAATTAAACAAATTAGAAATTAAATTAATATTTCCTAAGCCGAGGAGCTTAATCGGGAGTTAAAAGAAAAGGCGGTCGTCGATTAAATCCAGGTATGTAAACAAACTCTTTTTTATGGGTACTTCATGCATATTTCTCTTCTACTATTAAAATTCTAACAATTGCAATAAATGGCATCCAAGTCATTATTTTTTGGTACATAAACTGCTGTATATAATAATTCTACAACTGCATAAATGCATTCATATCATATTTAGACAAATAAACCGTTTCAATTAAAAAAAAAAAAACAATTTTGGCTAAAGAGCCTAGTTAATTAATGACTACGGTTCAACTGCCTTATTTCAAATAAATCGGGCTTAAGTCCAATTAATCAATAATTGTGACTAAAAGCTTTAATCAATCACGTTTTAACAACAAATTGTTTAAATGCGGTTAAGCTCGAATGCCCGATTAATCAATAATCGTGGCATTAAAACTTAAATCCGACAGAATTGGCTAAAGAACCTAGTTAATTAATAAACATTTTCGGCTCAAAGCCTAAAAGAATCGACAATTTTTTGGCAAAAATGCCTTAACAAATGAACCATTTTCAGCCAAAAGGCCTATCAACCATTTTGCGACAAAAATTATCAAATCAAAATCAACTCCTTTGCGCAAATGCCTAAACAAAATGCACAAAGCAATACACATCAATCTGCACAAAGCATGCACACAATCATGCAACCAAAGGCAATACACAAAATCATGCACAAGCCAATACACTAAAAATCATGCACAAAAGGCATTACAATAAAATCATGGCAAACAAAAGCATACTACAAAATCATGCACAAAGCATACACAAAAATCATCACGAAGCATACAAGCACAAATCATGCACAAAGCATACACAAAAATCAATCGCACGAAGCATTACACACATGCATTAAAGCATACCACATATTCAAAGCCCTCTAAAAGAGGCCTATCGAACTACGTTGACTTTGATTTTCCATTCAAACGGAAGTACGTAGGCACGTCCGGGATTTCACCCCGGGCGGCAAGTCGAAATCACCAAAATCACTCAAACATTTCATTAATCCCTCATTTACCTTGCAAAACATTCATTCATCGGTTAGTTTATCAGCATGACATAGTCTCGGGATCCATCTCGGGTTTGCATACCATGCTTTACACATTGGGATAATTAATCTAGTAACTAGGTTAATTAAAATTGAAGTCATTCAGGGTTTTTTCCTAGTTTACCCTAAAATAATTAAACAAATTAACAAGGTGGCGACTCACCACACTCACGTGCATTTCTTCTTTTGTCATATGCATTTCCACTATGCTATGATATTTGGGGGAAAGGGGTTCACAGTGAACATGTTTCACAAAACGTAAAATGATAAAAGAAAATGGCAAACAAGGTGGCGACTCACACACTCACGTGCATTTCTTTCTTTTGTCATATGCATTCACTATGCTATGATATTTGGGGAAAGGGGTTCACAGTGACATGTTTCACAAACGTAAATGATAAAAGAAAATGCAATCAATCAAAATAAAAATGTTAAATACTCTATTTAACATTTTTATTTAAAATACTCTATTTTAATATCTCAACAGAAAATGTTTATAATCAAGTATTTGAACCTATTAACAATATTCAACCAAGTGTCGCCTATTTACGTGACATGTCAGAATTACAATTAAGATATGTGGTACTATGCCACATTGGAAAGATTGTTGACATGTAAAAAAAAATATTGATATGTCAATCAGTGACGTGTCAATCTTAGCGGATATAAACATGAAATTTATCAATATAGCCTTTTCATTTTGATTCCTCTCTTATAAGTTGTCTTCTTTTTCTATTAGGTTTAATGTTCTTTGAAATTGAAAGAGAGAAATCAAGAAACAAAAGTTGTTTTCGTTGGAGATGGAGACTGGAGTTTACAGATGTGGGAAACCATGTATTATCCGAAGTTCATGGACTGATTTGAACCCAGGAAGGAGACTCATGTCTTATGAGACAAGAGCTGTAAGTTTTTTAATTTCTATTGAAAGATAATGAAATAGCAGATTTCATTTGTAAACCAAATATGAGATTGAGAATGGATATTTTATAGGTGAGGCAGAGTGGTGGCTGTGAGTTCTGTGAATGGGTGGACCTTGTGACTTGTAATAGGTCAAAGCAAACTATTCCTAGATTACTAAGATAACATCTTAGAAGCACAATTGAAGAGGCAAGACAGAAGAGTGAAGTTGTTGTGGGTTTGGAGGATTACATCTGTCATTCTAATATTCTTCAAATTGAACGGTTTTGCTTATATTGTAGGATTTGGTTTAATTCATGGATTTGCGTCGGTGTTTAGGATTTGCTTTTTATGTTCAGTAATGTAAGCATTGAAATATTGGATTTCATACATTCAGAATTGGAATATAGAGTTTTGTAGCCATGCATGGCAATTATTTGATGAAATGCTCAATGAAGTGCAGCTGATTTTATTTAATTTTGTTTTCTTAATTGAGGATGTTTTTGGGCATAATGATGCTCAATAATAAGGAATAATAATTGTATACAATTGCACTTAATTCTCATAAGTTAAAGCAAAGCTAATGGTAATTTAATCCAACTCCTGTTAAGATATTTATTTATTCAATAATTTAATTCAACTCATGCTAACAGTAATTCACCGGTAACATTCATTCAATAATAAAAAGCTAATGTTATATAAGTACTTCCATTAACATAATAGCCTGATTGAAAATGTTACATCAATTAGAGGTAATTCAATTGATCCCAAAAAGAAAATTGTTTATGCACCATTGTACTTAAATATTAAAACTGATAAAACAATGAAATGCATTCAATAAATTGCATGCATTGAAGTTCCTAAGTGATACAATCTGCTTAACAAAATATCACTAAATTCATAATA